AAAGCTTGATCATGGTTGGAAAGAATGTTCTAAAGTTGGTATCTTTGTTTTTTCAAGGACAAAAAAATTTTGCATCTCTAACCTTCCCCCCAATGTTTTTCAACAACGTTATTCTTCCAGTAATGTATAATTGAAATACATCAGCTCATCATATCAATAGAGTCTAAGAAATTTAGAGAACCAACCATCCTAAACATGCTAGTATTGTAAAGATAAGGAAAAGCCTCACCCCTTATTCATGCCCTCGATTGTGAGGCCGAGATGCCACATAGAGCTAACCTTTAAATCATTCAAGGAGACATGATCAAGTCGGTTAAGTGGACCCTCCCTCCCATAAAGAATATGGGCAAGTGGGTGAGCAAGGGGTTCTCGGGGAAGCCACGGACGAGGAGAAGCTAGTGGAATAGTGCTTATAGTAGGACCTCCTTCACCGGTAGGAGGACGAGCTTTAGGGGAAATCTCTACTTAAGTTCATTGGTAACCTTGATAACAGGGGGAGCCAGAGCCACCCTAAGTCTCTTTGGAGCTCGGCCACCAAGCTTGGTGCGAGTCTTCTTATAATCAAATTTAGAACCCATGATTTCTGTAAAAGAACTTAAGTCATAAATAACTACAACAAGATTATTTTGAAAAAAAGTGGAATAAAACTTACCAAGAAACTGAGTTTTGGGATCCTCGATAAACGGAAGAGATAGAATATCTCTACAACTAATAGGTCAACAAAAAATAAACAAAATTTTTATGAGGGGTTCGCCAATATAGAGGGAAACAAGAAGTATAGTCGGAATAAAATAAAAAAAAAAATAGACGATTGAAAGGGTCAATCTGAGCACATCTAATTTTGAACAAAAAATGATTTTTGAAATTTTTAAAGGATGGTTGCAAGAGGGTAAATAAACCACCATGTTGGGACCCATTTAATGATACCCAACCGACATTTTGACCTTGCTTTAATGGACTTGAAATAACACATAAAAATTGGAAAGCTTTCAGGAAACCCAACTATTAGGATGGAATTGACTAGGGGCAACACACAAAACAAAGAGCACATCACATTCGAAACTTGTGAAGGGAACTTGAGTATCTAAATCCTTGAAGAAACATTCATATGCGAAAATAAAATCTTCGTAGTTCAAAGAGGGTTTCATGTAAACTCAATCAAAAGAATCATAGGGCCCAACAATGACATATTTTACATCAAAATCATTACAAACACTATAAATTTTACAAATATCTTTCACTGGAAGTAAAAATAGAAGAATAATGAGCAACCTCCTCATGCACTCAACTATATTATGGATTAGATATTGGAGAAAATCTAACCCTCCTAGTTCCCACAAAGGAACTAAGACCCATTAAAATTTCAATCAAATCATTATATTTAGAAGAAGAAGAAGAAGAAGAAGAAGAAGAAGACATAGTAATAAAACGTACATACCTAAGAGTATAATTGAAAGTGGAATGCTTGACAAAAACTAGAAAGATGTGGATGCTCAAGAAGATGAAGAATCGAGAGAATGGGGTATGAGGTGAATAACACAGTGAGTGAAGGAGGTTTCTACCTAATCCTTGGCACTGCTTTTAAGGAAAACCCTTTTTGACGGTGTAAAATCATTACAAAAACCCCTTATCAGATGTCATCTCACTGGAAGACGAAAAGACTTCTCAAACTCGAAAGAGATAAGCTCGATATAAATGAAGAGATAAGCTCGGTATAAACGAAAAGATAAGTTCAAATACTTTTATGCATTTTCAACAAATTTTGAACTTTAGGCGCTTTTATACTTTTACAGATTCCACATATTCTCTTGAATTAATACCTTTTAAATGGATAAGGTCTTAATCAACTACTGATAACATAATAAAGATAAGTTATAGCATATCTTTATTACTTAAAATATCTTTTATAAGAAGTCTATAAATTACATCATTCTTAGGCATCTATTGATTTAAGAGAAAAAGACATATACTCTATTAATTTAAGCATTGAAGTGTCTTTGCAAATGAATTTTGCTCTTGTTCTAGGAATAAGGGTGATCAAGTCGGATTTTCATAGTTGTTCATGATCAAGTCAAAATTCTTGAGTTGTTCATGATCAAGTCAATAAGTTCGATTTGGCCAAATTATTTATTTATTAATTTTAATTATATTTCTTTTCTAGCAAGAACATGAATCAATTTAATCGATATATTATTTTTAAATAATTATATTTTTAGTTAAATATGTATAAAATCATATATATATATATATATATATATATATATATATATATATATATATATATATATATACGATTGAATTTTCTGATCAAACTAAATTTGATAAAAAAAATATATCAATTTTTTTATTAAATATTGTTTTTTTATATAAAATATATAATATTTTTTTATTTTTTATATATATTTTATTAATCATATCACCTTTAAATAATAATTATTTTATTTTATTTTTTAATTATTAATTATTTTTATTCTTTAATATATTTTATATCCATACCTTATATAATATAATAAAAAGTTGTTATATATCAGATAATTAATACCTTATAAAAAGTTGTTATATATCCATACCTTATATATTTTACTATCAGATAATTAATTCGATAAATTTAAATGAATCAAGTAAAAAATAACAAAAAATAAATTATCAAGTTATATTAAAATTGTTAGTGTTATCTTCTCTTCTTCTCTTTAAATAAGTACATTTTATAGAAAATATACCAAAATTCAATCAGTTATATATATTAAATACTTCATAACAAAAAGTTATAATTTGTAATTCTTTTTTTTAAGAGTTTCAGCATTTTTCAAAAAACAAAAAATGAAAATGAAAATTATATTGGCGTGTAACTATTAGTAATTAATCAATAATAAGGAAGTGGAAATTTCCAACTTTACGTCTCAAATTTTAGATATCTAAATATTTTGAACATTCAAAAGATAAATTTTAATAAAATTGTTTGTGACAAAGATATACGTGATTCATAATACTTTCTTTATTTTCTAACTAAATTAATTATGTTTTTAAATTTTTTAATTTAAGATTTTTTGTTTCAAATTGAAAAAAATATATTTTCAATTATTCAAATTTAGTAAAATATAGGATTTTAATTCCTAAATATTATATTTGTGTTTTTAGTATAAATGATTTGTTGTTTGATTAAATAATATATATATATATATATATATATATATATATATATATATATATATATATATATAAAGGACGTGATAAATCATTTAAGGATAAATCATTCAAAATAAATTTACAAAAATGCAAGGTAAAAAAAATGTTTAGAGGTTACTTTCTTGAAAATCCCTCACACTCCTCACAACAAAATTAAAAAAAAAAAAACTATTTTTTTATTAATAAGTTTTTAAGATTAAGATGAAAAAATAGGATACGTCCACTGGTTAGTAAAACGGGACAAATTAATTTATTTTAAAAAAATATTTATATATTAAAATAAAAATAAAGATAATTGTATCTTCCACAATTTTAGTAGTCTTATTTTATAAGACAAAATATGTAATGTGTGTAATTGTATCTTCCACAATTTTAGTTTATATATTAAGAGGTTAATTACTTCATTAAATTTTACTCTTTTTTTTATATTTTTCTTAAAATGTCTTTCTCATAAAACAAAAATGCATATTATGATAATGTTAAAAAAGTTCAAATATTATTTAAAATTTAGATATTTTAGAGAACAAAATAATTAAATGAAATAACAGTAGTTAAAAAATTTTAACATTTTTTGTTTAAAAAAGTGTGATATGTTTTCCTTTTAAATAAGAATGGAAATAATACTATTTCATCAATGCATTACATTACATAAAACAGTAAATGCTCGTTTTATTTATTGAAATTTATAATAAACAAATATTTCTAAATATAAACAATTTGCTTTGAATTTTAATTGATAGTTTATATTATGTTATAAGATTGTTTTAAATTCAGATAATCTATTTACTAAAATTTAATTTAGAGACAAATGAAATAGCAGAGATTGAAAATAATTGGTTAAGACTTATAAACATAGAGATAAAAAATAAACTAGATAGGGTTGTTTTTGGGTTATTATACAGAATAACCATTTCTAGTAGTTTGAAAGAATTGCAAGAACACACAATTTATTTATTCTTTTCTGATTATGAGATGATAATACGTAAAACAAAAATCCAAAAATATTTATAATATTTAAGAGTTAAAAGACAGATATTTAAATTGTATTGTCTGATATATATTAAGAAATTAAAGATAATACCTTTTATTGAAAATCATATGAAAAAGTTTTTAAAAACCATAAATAAACACATATTTGCATCTTAAAAAAAGTTTTTTTTTTTTAATTCTTTAGAATAGCCCTAAAAAAGAGTTACTAAAAATAAAAATAAATATTTTATTATAAATCTCAGAAATAAATTATTTAAAAATTAATCATAATTATTTATAAAAAATCTTTCTTTTAATTTTATATAATTATTTATAATTTTAAACAATTTATATATAAAATTTATAATAAAATATTTTTTTTATTCATTCGGTAATAGATGCTGTAAGGCTTGTTAACATTACTTGAATCATATACTACAAAAGTAGTTTTTGTGATTATAAAGTATTAAAAGATGCCTGGAAAAGTTGTCTCGGAATCATGGAAAAGTTTTGAAAAGTTACTGACAAAATCATTACATTGGTGGTCGGTCCCTAGGCAATACATTCAACTCGAGACCCACAAGAGTTGAAATCTTTACAATTTATGTAGGCTACACTCTATTTCTTATCCCTTATATTTTTTTCTGGATTATTAGGCCAACTTTTTTTATTTTTAGATAGTCATGTATCAAATAGAATGGTACTTAAAAATGCAAGCATTGTATTGAGGTTGTGACTGAGATTATTTGTGTATATTGAAGCTGTTAATTTGCTTTGGGTTGAGTCATATGTGATTACATACAAGAACCTCATTCTATGTATATGTAATAAGAATATGGAATGACTCAGTCTTCCAAGGTAGAGGGTCTTTGAGACTTGGGAAGGTTTTCTGCATACAAGTTATGTAACATTTTAACATAGTCATCAATCTTGCTAACTGTCCAATTTTCAGTGCTTATAGGAGGAAGATACTTGACAGTAAGTGGTGCTGGTCTGACATGTAAGCTTCCTTTTCTCCATGCCAGATGAGTACCTGTCAGGACCATTGGAACAATTGGAAGACCAGATTGCAGAGCCAAATGAACAAAACCCTTCACAAAAAATCAAGGAATAAGGATCTGACATATTAGTTCCACTTGAGAAAACAAACATTTCAAGTTGGTTTAATTCCACAGTTGATCCTTCAGGTATATGCATTGTCTAAAAGAGTTTTTACATTGTTTTTCAATTATAGATTCATGTGTATGGTAAGTTCGTTACTTATATAATAACTAATTTAAAAGCTGCACTTAGTATGATTTTTTGTTAATTGATAATGTTAATCTTTTACACTTCATAGAAACTAAACTCTAACAACAATACCACTCCTTTGATAGCAAAATATAGAGATTTTTTAGAGTTAGGGGCAGGCCATCTATCCTTTAACCAAAAACTGTATCTCTTTGCAGCAAGTCAGAAGCATTGATAAATTCAGCACTAGAATATATATGCAAAGAAGAAACTAAAAGGTGGAAAATTACTTTTTTGAAAGGTAGAAGTCGTCCATTTTTAGACCTTGTGCCCTCTGGAAAAATGATCAGTGACAGATTGTTCTTCACAACTGCATGAGCTGCCTAAGCATTACATTGATTAAAAATTAGAATGTTAAACTGGTGTATCAATGTATTATATATCATGATGAAGGGGAAATGTTCAATACCTTTTTCATGGACTCAATAGCTGCCATTGGATTGGACCGATCTATACGAAGATGATTGGCCAAAACATACAGTTGGCCAAATAGAGGATACCATATGATCTGCATAAAAATAGTTGTTAAAAGGTTTCTGAATCTTTATTTAGAATCCATTTTCGACCCATTGATTACAACTTCCATAGCTTTGACAATAACAATTGCAAACTTGAGTGTGTGGTGTGTCGTATAAGATTTATTAAATTAAACATTCTAAGGTGAAACTTTTCCCACAAAGCAATGCAAGACACCAATGGTCTTGACCATGACGTGTAATTTTAAGTCATGCAAAAAAATTTGTTATGCTTAACCATAAAGCATTACGACATACCTCTTTCTTTGCAATGCCGACAGTACCTGTAGGAGTCAACCACATTATCAGAAATATGTCAATTGGAGATGCATGATTGCTGATGTAAATGGCCCTCTTGTTGGAGTACTCGGCACCTTCAATTTTTATAGGATTCCCAAGAATCCACATCTGCATCAATGTTTTGAATATCGTTCACAACTTCCAAAGAAATACTAAAAATTTAGTAAAGAAATTATGCTATAAAAGTTGTAAGAGTGAAAGTGAGACTTTGGAGACATGCTTTTCTAGAAATGGTGCTGACATTAAGGAATGTTTTGACGTGAAAATTATTCAGATTACCATTTAAATCTGATATTTGGACATGTGCATAACCTGATGTTTGGGTTTCTAAAGTATTTGAATTATGTATTTGTCTGTCATATAAGGAATAGAATCTTTGATACATTTTTGAAGGAATCCACCAACCAAAAACAATTTTCTGGCTTGAAGAATCTTCCTCTGTAATTCCAGACAACACAAAAAATAATACACAACCCAACATGTTTTATGTCCGTACTAAAACAGAATTATTGGTAATTAATCACCACTATATTGGGGGGTTCAGCATCTAAATATATATTTTGTTGGTGAGCCTAGGGTGTTCAGTGGTCAGAAGTTAGGATCTACTCAGTTGAGGTAATGAAATCCATTTAAGGAATTGATCACTCCAAACAAATGTCATTTCATACACACAAACATAAGAATCGAACTTTTGACCACATTTAAGAAGCATCATTTTCTGCCAATCATACCGCACCATGTTGGTAACTTTATAATGGAACGATGATCATAGTTCAAACATTTGCAATGGAAATCAATCAGTCAATCAATCAAATGGAACTCTGTTTTAAGGAACATTACATAATGTTCTGATTCTTAGATATTACTAAAACCTCCTAACTAAAATAGTATTTTCAACTGCACAAGATTCAAAAATGTATAAGCTGTCCAAAAATTCTAAGCAACTAAACAAATTATTGAATAAGACTCAATCAATTTATATTGTGATTGTGACTAAAATATAACAATAGGTAAACAAAAAAATACATTCAGATATATTGAACATCAATTCACTCCAAAATATGCAGCATCAAGTAGAAACAAATTCCAAACTGAATGCAGCTTACCAGCATTCTGCCAGTCACATGTCCATAAATGTTTCCTTGCCTAATCCTCTCATAGGGCCATGGTATAAGCACAAACATGATCAATGCCCAGATGAATGTTGTGATCATCATAGACACAAAACAAGTCACAATTCTGATCCAAGATATGATCACAGGAACCCACCCATCATCGTCAACATAAACACCCATCTTAGGCCTTCGTTCAGATTCATCTTTTATTGAAACCTTTGGAGTATCTACCACCCTCTTCTCAGAACTTGAGCTCAGGAAACTCTCCATTCTTCTACTCCTCAAAAAACCACCAAACCTAGAATTCTCCATGAATACTCAAAATCCTTGAAGAATGTGGATATGATAAATTATATATGCCCCCTGAACAGGGCGAAGAAAGTCATCAGATAAAAACTCACTTCAAGTATCACATTCTGTTTGGTTGCTGAGAAAATTTCGGCAAACAAATACTACCCAAAAGGAAAAGAATAATCGACCTTGGTCTAGAAAAACTAACTATATTTTACTTCATAGACTAAAATCCGTTTCTTTATTCCACTAGATTGTAAGTAACCAAATAACCTTTGGTTCAAACATTTTATTTTTCTATTTTTCAGTAGTTTCTCGATCAACGTCAAAACAGTTCAAACAAAAAAAACCAAACTTTGTCCCTTTTATCGAAATAGGAAGAAAGTACACACCAATCAGCTTCATAATCAAACAGAGCCAACCAATTATTGACACACACAAAAAAAAACAATAAGAAAGTTCTATACTTTTCTCAGGAAACTGAATGAAGAAGATTGTAAACTTAAAATTTTCTCTTCACTTCCCAGAAGTAGAAAAACAACAACAAATGTCAACAACGGGTCAAACTAGGATAATTTTTATTTCATTTTAAACTTACGACACGGAAGGTAAATTTGGTTTTCCTACCCAGTTTTCCGAGCAAACAGTGAATCAAAACCTTTTTTTTTTGTTTTCCAGAAAACCACTCAGAAAAGACCCCCCAAACCAAACACTCCTTAATCCTTACCAAGCACGTGACTTTGTGGAGAAAGTGTAGTGAAACAACTGAGGGAAAGAAAAGTGAGGAAGAGAAGTGAAAAGTAGAACACTGATCTGATGTTAGGGAATGGTAGCAAATGGGAGAAGAAGCAGAGCGAAGACGAAGAAATGGTCAGTGCAGAGATTTTGGTGAAAGACAGAGTATGTCATGGGGGAACAACAGACATGACAATTGTAGAAGCATGATTCAAACACAAATCAAATACCCTTTGTCACTTATATTGTTTTTTTAGAATAAATGTCAATTTTAATCCATAAATTAATTATATATGCATTGGTGGCAATTCGGGTCTTAGAAAAGATTAAGAAAAAAATCTGATTTATTTTCCATGTTATAATTTAATGTAAAAGTGGTTTTTAAAAATATAATTTAATGTAAAAATTGATTCTTGAGTATAATAACTTTATTTCAAAATAATGTCACAAAATTGAACCACATATATAATCATCACACCTCTTACATATTTAAGAATTAAATAAAAATTGTATTCTTTCAAATTTATACTATATATTTTCAGTAATCAAAATGATTATTTATCCATTTTTTTAATATAAATAAAAAGTGTGTTAAGTAAAGTGAATAGTCCATTGAAAAGTATTTAACAGTTAATAATAATAAAAAATTGACCACATCAGTAAAATCAATAAATATTTTTATAACTGTGATAAAAAAATTGAGAAGAAGCTTTTTCTTATATTGATTTATTATTAATATGAAAAAGAAAAGCTCATGTCAATAAATGTCATTAAATTTTTTTATTAAATGACATTTAATAATTATTAATATCTAAAAGTCTATTCTGTGTAAACGAGGATCATGTCATGCTAATTACTAAATAATAAAAATTATCAAATACTTAAAATAAATATTTTAGTAATTTCTTAATTAACGATATGAAAAACACTATATCCAACTAAATATATATTCAAAATTTATCGTGATAACTTGTGTCATTTTTAAAATTTCATTGAATTTTCTTATATTTGATTAATTTGAAACTATGATAAATGATAAGTTTAATTCTTAATTTGTGATGTAAATTTAATATTTTCAAAACTATAACATCTTATTTTAATTTTTAAATATATAAAAATAAAATTAGTTTATGAATATTATAGCTTAATGATAAGATATCTTTTATTTAATGTTGAATTAGTTTTTAAGATTATATTTCGTAAAACTTAGTATCAATATGTTACTAAAATATTCTTTAATATTGAGATACTAAATTTAATTTTTTATTTCTTTCGTTCTTTCAATTACAAAGTTGGTATTGTTACCCATAAAATTATGTATATTTAGATTTATTGTGTATTAATTGGTTTATTTAATATTTTGCTTTTAAAAAACTTAATTACATTACATGATGTTTAAAATCTCTTACTCGTAACTTTAATTTTGATATTAATTATTGAATTAAGCATAAAGCTATAATTGATAATAATAAAAAAAACACCTCCATTAATTTATCACTTCATATTTATCATAGGACAATTAATGCATTTCATAAGATTATTCTATTTTAAAAAAAATGTGCATATGATTTGTTTTTATATTAGAACGAGAGAAAAATTATGGAATATTATAATTTATCGTGTGCGATTAATTATATAAAAAATTTAACTCAAATTTTTAATTAATTATGATACATTGAAAATTTTAAATCATATAATATGGTTCTATGATATAGTTTTACTTCTTTAATATTTATATATATATATATATATATATATATATATATATATATATATATAACTTCTCACACTAGCTATTATCCGAAAATTTTAACACAGGTTTATAATTAAAATTAATTTAATATATATTTTAATTGCTTTCAATTGTTTTGAATTTACCTAATTTTTTAACTGAATTTTCAAGCATTTCGTGTGAGTTGGTTTATATATATATTATGTTGTTTTCACACGTAGAATGATGTTGTTTTTTGTCACTTTAGGGGTTGATTAAGTCTTTTAATATGGCTTTTGCCTGTGTTGTTGTTGACTTTTTTTCTTTTCTTTTCATAATTTTCTTTTAGAGGAAATTGGGACATTATTATTATTATTATTATTATTTAACTTAGAAAAGTTTTGGCTGAGAAGTTAATAATTCATTTTTAATATATAAATTTATTTAAGGGTTAATATTTTTCATTGATTTTTTAAAATAATTAATCTCTTAATCATATAATTAATTTAAGATATAATATTATTTATCAATTATTAATAATTTTTATTAGATAGATATGAAAAGAAAATTATCCTTTTATTAGATTGTATGTGAACAGAAAGGTTTATATCTAAGGGGATACATTTGTACATAAGCTTTTATGAATAAAGATAAATTTTTACTAATTTAAAGTTATAGCGGAAGGTTTAGCTTATTGATTTGTTTTTGTCAAATTTTTTGGATTTTGGTTATAAGCTAGTTCGATTATCTAAATTATCCTATGTTAGAGTATAAGGTGACTTGGTTGTAATTATTTGAAATTGATCTTGATTGATTGTTGTATGCACATTGATGAAATAATGGATTATGTGAGAGTATGAATAAATAAAATTGAAATATTGAAGTGATTGAATTTGTGATTTCAAAGATTGGAAAAAGACTTTATGGTATTGTAGGGTTTGAAGTGTGACTATAAAAAAAAATAATAGTATTATTATTTGTGATGTAATTAGTGTAAAGTTTATATGATAAAACATTTTCAAACATAATTACTATTTTTTTTTAATAAAAGTATACTTATAAACTAAACTTATGCATGATTAAGATGCTGAAAATTAGATTGTACGTAGTGAGTTTTTGGTTTATTTATGTAATTAGGGATTTGTTTGTCTGGTGAATGGAAGTTGTACCTTAATAAATTTGACCATATGCCTAATTCATCGAGCAAATTTGGTCATATGTTTAATTCGTTGAACAATATATTTTTAAACATATTAAAATGATAAATTTGTTTATATTGGACATATAAAGGTATGAGTGTGATGCATGTGGGTAATGGCATGTCATGTCAACCCTTCAAGTGGTGATATAGGGGAATGTGTTTGATGTGAACGTAACATAAATATTGAAATATTGAAATGTTCTGTATTAAAAATATTAGATATATTGAATTTTTTTTATAAACTATCTTATCTTTGTACTTGGTTGTGTTTTGTTTGATTATGATTATCATGTCTTTACAATAAAGATGGAATGGTGGTGTACAATATTTATGTTTATGCTTTATTTATATTTTAGGAATTTATGTAAATTTATATGAAAATGAAGAAAAAATGTTTTATTTTAAATAATATGATTATGTAAATATTGAATATGTTATATTTTACATTTTAAATTCATATAACTTGTGGGGGTTATACACTAGCAGAATATGAATATGTCTCCCTTATACTATTATCTTCGTTATAATCTTCGTCATCATATATTTTTATATTATTGTCGTGGTTATTATCTAATAATCATTGTATTATTAGGGACAAAATTATAACTTACCTATCTCTCAAAATTCTAAATTTTACTATATATAATTTATAATTTTTATTTTATTATTAAAAAACATATATTTTCCTTATTTTGGTCTTAACTAGTAAGTGGTTGGTTACCACCTTATATGTATCAAATCCATTATAATTGTTCAAACTTTTTGTCACTAATGAGATTATATTTACATTAATTCTTGGTCATTATTTTTATCATTCTAATTTTATTTATATTAATTCTTGATCATTATTTTTATTATTCTAATTGTCCATAAGGATATTATTGAAATAATAATAGTAATAATAATAATAATAATAATTATTATTATTATTATTATTATTATTATTGACTATCATTATTTATCATCACAGTTGTCTTGAATGTTATAATCATTATTCTAATGTTGATATATCATATTTTATTCTTACCATTAAATAATATCTAAAGATAAATAATTGTTTTCTTATAATTTATATGATTTTTTTCAATTAAAGATGAACAAAAAATTATAAGTTAAAAATAATTTATACATAAATTAAAAATATAATTTAAATAATATAAGATAATTTCTATAAATTAATTTTGATTTATATAAAAATTCCTTCTTTTTCCTCCATCTAAAGTTTCAAAATTTTAAGTATATTTTAAATTTTTAATTATAATAACCTTTAATTTTATTTTATTTTACAATGGATGTATAAAGAATTTATACTCACCGCTTAAACGAGGTTAT